AGTAAGGCCCTCTATGAGGTGGATTGATTCAGTGACTGGGATAATTGGGATGGGAGTGTCAGAGACAGTGCGATTGGCACAGGACAGAGCGGAGTTTAGAGCTGTTGTACATAGGGTCGCTATGAGTCACAGGCGACTCAACGGCACATAACAACAACAATTTTGAAAGTTATTTCCAGGTATTTTTCTATGTATGTATAAATGTTTATATATAATTTTAACAATTAATGTCTAATAATTTTTATAATGGAAATGTGAATGAAAAATAATAAAGACATATCTAACCTCTTTGTATATTCTATCATAAGACATTATTAGATACAGTACAGACTGCAAAATGTAAAAATAATGAATAGAATTACATAATGATACTATTCTTACCATCATATTTCCATTTTTATTATCCTGAATCTCACATACTGATCAAAGAACAAAGCACCAAGAGGCAATGACAACTATGAAATAGAAATCTGGTATTAAAAAACTGGCATTATTTATTCAGTAAAATTTAAGCAATAAAGCTTAAATCGTGGGTACGGAAAGAACGTGACTTCCTGGTAAAATTCTGACAGAGTCCTCAAAAAGTTAGACAGTTAAAATTTGACAATTTGTAACATTGTAATTTGAAAAAAAAGCCAAATATGTTTTAAAAGTATTCATCAAAGTTAACATATAGAATTTCATTTAAAAAGAATCTCATTCCAAAGGAGAAATGCTAAGTGATGCACATAGGGGAAACAATGGCATAAATATTACACAAGCTTCTGTTTATGGGAAATACAGATCCTGAGTCTGCTCACCTTCCCAATCTGTGACCCACTCCCGAGAAGGGCTGGAATACAGGCTTGGTTGACATACAAACTTCATTTTTCTTATCTTCAACTTTAACATCCACTTCCTCTTTATCATATATCCCTTGTAATTCTAAAGGTAATTCCCTTGAAAGGAAAAGAGACAAAATGATAAAAATAAAGCTCCCATTACATTTTTTTTCTTTCTCTGAAAAATACATCCCATAAGTACAATGAAGACTTGGACAGAACATAATAGCCCCAATAGAAGAAGAATGAAATTCATTGAGAGGCAATAATAAAGATGCATAACATCAGAGAGTAATTTTTAAGAAAGACCATAAATTCAAGCACAGTATGAGCTTTCTAGCAGGACCAAACTCATAAACTACTTAATGACCACATACTGCTAAATTGAAACAATTTTATCATTTTTATAGGCATCTAAACAGGACTAAAAAGTGTCAACAAAGCAATCAAGCTCTCATTTCAGGTTCTGAAGAAAATTGAGATTTACTCTGGAAAACAACAAAGTTGATATAGCAAAATTCTGAAATTAGCATTAACAAACCAGGGTATTTAAAAAATAATAAATAAATAAAATGGTAGGGGCATTTCATCCTCCTACCAGAGAGATTATCAATGTTAAGAAAACAAAGATTCTTACTACCCCAATGACAGGCAACATCATGATATATGGAGAAAAGACTGAAATTTTCAACAACTTCATCTTACTTGGATCCACAGTTAACAACTTGGCACCAGCAGTCATGAAATGAGAAGAGATACTGCACTGGGCAAGTCTAGGTTAGGGACCATTCCAAATTACTGAGGAATAACGATGTCAGTTTGAGGAGTAAGGTGGGTCTGATTCAGGCGATGGTCTTTCTAATCATTCGCTATGCATCTGAGAGCTGGACAACAAATAAGGATAATAGAAGAATAGATGCCTTTGAGCTGTGGCGTTGAAGAAGAGTGCCACATCCCATGGACGGTCAAGAGAAAAAACAGGTATGTTTTGGTAAAGGTGCAGCCAGAGTGCTTTCTGGAGTGAATGATGGGGCTTTGCCTTGCATACCTGGGGCATGTTGCTAGGAGAGGCTATTCTTTAGAAAAGGACATGATGCTGGGAAGGGTGGAGGGTCAGCAAAGGAGAAGAAGACCCTCAACCAGGTGAACTGACACAATGACTACTGCAATGGGCTCTTGGGTATCAATCAGGAAGTGTGAGGATGGCACAGGATAGGACAGGTTTCAAATCAGTTGTTCATAAGGTCCCTATGGGCTGTACTTGACTTGATGGTACCTAACAACATTAACAACCAGAGAGATTAGGGAGTTCTGGTGGCTTGTTAGGTGCCATCAAGTCAAGTTCAACTCAGTGTCTCTATGAACAATAGATCTGAACCCTGTATTATTCTTAGTCATCCTCATCATGTCTGATATATTGAATCCACTGATTCAGTCACTGTGTCAATCATCTTGTGAAGGGTCATCTTCACTTTCTCTGACCTTCCACCTTTCCAAGTATGAAGTCTGAGACGAAACTTGAAAGTCTTTGCCTCTAAGGAGCACTCTGGCTGCACACTTCCAAAACATACCTGTTCTTCTAGCTGTTCATTGTTATCTTCGGTATTGTCTTCCAACACCACAGCTCAAAGGTATTAATTCTTCTGCAATTCTTATTCATTGTCCAGCTCTCAGATGCACAGCAGGTTATTTAAAAGACCATGGCTTGAATCAGGTGTACCTTAGTTTTTAAAGTGACATCACTGCTCTTCAAACTTTGGAAAGGTCCTTTACTTTACCAGTGCAGTATGTCTACTGATCTCCTGACTGCTGGTACCAAGGATATTGATTGTGGATCCAAGTAAGATTAAATCATTGACAATTTCCATTTCCCCTATCTATCATGATGTGATAATGGTTATCCATAGTGGACAGTGTTTGTTTGGTGGTTCTCCCCAATTAAAACAAGCCTGGAAGCAGGAGTGGCATCCACTTCCAAAATGGCTTGCCTCTGGAAACTCTAAGAATAGTGCTTAGGTCTTTCATTCATAGGGTTGCTGTGAGTTATCAACGACTCGACAGCACTTAACAACATCATGATGTTGCCTATTGGTCCAGTGGTGAGGATTTTGGTCTTCTTAATGTTGAAATGCAATCTGTATTGAAGGCTATAGTTCCTGATCTTCTGCAGCAAGTGCTTCAGGTCCTTCTCCCTTTGAGCAAGTAAGACTGTATCATCTACATAACACAGGTTGTTGATGAGTTAGCCTCAAATCCTGATGCGACATTCTTCTTTTTTGAAACCCAGCTTCTCGAACTATTCACTCAGCATACAAATGGAATAGGTATAGAGAAAGGATAAAGCTCTGACACGCACCTTTTTCTTATTTTAAACCATGCAGTGTTCCCTGGCTCTGTTCAGATGACAGCTTCCTGCTCTAGGTATAGGTTTCACATGAGCACAAATAAATGTTCTGGGTTTCCCATTCTTCTAAATGTTAGCTATACCTTGTTGTGATCCACACAAATTCTTTCCATAGTCAATAAAATACAAATAGATATTCTTCTGGTATCCTCTGATTCTAGCCAGAAACCATTTTGGTATTTGTAATGATATCCTTGGTGACATGGGCTCTTCTAAATCCAGCATGATCTTCTAGCAGTTCTCACTTCACGTACTGTTACAATCACTTTTTAATAATCTTTGGCAATATTTTGCTTGCATGTGAAAGTAATGATATCGTTTGGTAATTTCCACATTCTTTTGGATCTCCTTTCTTGGGAATTGAAACAAATTTGGATCTCTTCCAGTCAGCTGATCACGTAGCTGTCTTCCAAATTTCCTGGCACAGACTGGTGAGCATGTACAGAGCTGCATCTATTAACTTGAAATACGTCAATTGGCCTCCCATTGATTCCCGTGGCTTTGTTTTTGTGAAATGTCTTCAATGAAGCTTAAACTTCTTCCCTCACTATTGCCTCTTTATCGCATTCTACTTTAAGGATTTCATTGTTGACCAGTTCTTTTTGGTATAGTGACTCTGTGTGTTCCCTCCATTTTCTCTTGATACTTCTTGGATCATTCAAGATTTCTGCCAATAGAACCTCTCAGTAATGCAACAGAAGGATTAACTTTGATTTTTAGCTTGAGAGATGTCAAGGAAGTTTTTCCCTTTTTATTCTCCAACACAAGTTCTTTGCACATTCTGTTATAATACTTTGCTTTGTCTTCTCGAGTTTCCTTTTAAAATCTTCTATTCATCTCTTTTAACTTTACTTTTTACTTCTTTGTCTAGTGCAATTTTCAGAGTCTCTTCTGACAATGATTTTGGTCTTTTCTTTCTCCTCTGTTACAACCTTTTGCTCTTTTCATGGATAACATCTTCCACGTCATCCCACAATTCATCTGGTCTTTGATCATTAGCTTGTAATGCCTCAAACTTGTTCTAAAGACAATTTTAAAATTCAGGTGGTATCACCTTAAGGACATGCTTTGGTTCTTGTAAATTTGATTTTATCTTCTTCAGTTTCAATTTGTACTTGCATATGAGTGACTACCACTTGGCCAACTGACTGGAAGAGATCTATATTTGTTCCCATTCCAAAGAAAGGTGACCCAACTGAGTGTGGAAAATACAGAACAATATCATTGATTTCACATGCAAGCAAGGTTCTACTGAAGATTATCCAAAAATGATTAGAACAGCACATCAGCAGAGAACTACCGGAAGTCCAGGCTGGGTTTAGAAGGGGTCGTGGTACTAGGGATATTGTTGCTGATGTTAGATGGATCTTGGCTGAAAGCAGAGAATACCAGAAGAATGTCTATCTGTGTTTCATTGATTATGCAAAGGCATTTGACTGTGTGGATCATAACAAACTGTGGCTGACTCTGAGAAGAATGGGAATCCCAGAACATTTAATTGTGCTAATGCAAAACCTATACTTGGACCAAGAGGCAGTAGTCAGAACAGAGCAGGGTAACACTGCATGGTTCAAAATTGGGAAGGGTGTACGCCAGGGATGCATCCTGTCTCCATACCTTTTCAATATGTATGCAGAGCAGATTATCCGAGAGGCTGGGCTCTATGAGAATTGTGGCATCAGGATTGGTGGAAGATCTATTAACAATCTGCATTATGCAGATGACACAACCCTGCTTGCTGAAACTGAGGAGGACCTCATGCACTTGCTGCGAAGGGTCAAGGACTGCAGCCTTCAGTATGGACTGAGGCTCAATGTCAAGAAGACAAAGATTCTCACCACTGGACCAATTGGTAGCATCAGGATGGATGGCGAAGAGATTGAGATTGTTCACAGCTTCAGTTTGCTCGGCTCCACAGTCAACACTCTTGGCACCAGCAGTCAGGAAATCAAAAAGCGTTATCACGATGGAAAGTCTGCTGTTAGGGACCTCTCTAAAGTACTCAGGAGCAACGGTGTCTCTCTGGAGACTAAGGTGCGCCTGATACAGGCCATGGTCTTTGCAATCGCTTGTTATGCATCAGAGTTGGACAATGACTAAGGAGGACAGAAGGAGAGTTGATGCTTTTGATCTGTGGTGCTGGAGAAGAGTACTGAATGTACCATGGACTGCCAGGAAAACAAACAGATTCATCTTGGAGAGGATTAAACCAAGCTACTCCTTGGAGGCAAGGATTCTGGGGCTTCGTCTGACATATTTTGAACATGTTGCCAGGAGGGACGGGTCCTTGGAGAGGGACATCACGCTTGGGAGGGTGGAGGGACAGCGCAGGAGGGGAAGACCCTCTATGAGGTGGACTGATTTGGTGACTGGGGTAATCGGGATGAGTGTGTCAGAGGCAGTGCGGTTGGCGCAGGACAGAGCAGGGTTTAGGGCTGTTGTGCATAGGGTCGCTATGAGTCGCAAGCGACTCAACGGCACATAACAACAACAACAACGAGTGACTAATGATCTGTTCAACAATCAGCACTTCGCCAGATTTTGAGTGCTGATTTTGAGTTTCACCAATGATTATTTTAACAGTGGCAAGGAATTGTGGTGCAGTGGTAGGAGATTCAAATACACAAGCTGCTCTATGAGACAAAAATAGGCAATCTCCTCCCTTATTATTTTCTGCCGCTGAAAACCTGCTGGAGTATCAGCTATGGGTTGG